AGGACAATTTTTAATATAACTCCGACTGGATTCGTCTGAAAGAAGAAAATCATATACACCTAGGATGCTTCGAGGGTGAGTAAAAAAACAAGCCAATTTTCATTTTTAGGCGAACTAACCCTCTGAAGTCCAGATGTTTGTACCTTTCTGTGCTTTTATCGTCTGTTCTTCAATCTGTCTCAGTCTCTCGATTAACTCATCCTTTTCTCGCTCTATTCTCTCCTTCTCCTTTTCTGCATGCTTTCGTTTCTTCTTCTCATTCTCAAGCTGAGCTCTGATGGAGACAGAGTAAATTTGATTTGTGCAGCAACACCTCAAAGTTCCATTTGTCTGATGCCCAGAGTCATCACTTCCAAGAAAACAGAACTAGAAAAAAAGTTGCATAAAATTAAAAGTCCACGTAACTTAAAAAAATTCAAGTAGACTAAGATTCTAAAGCTCAATTAATATAGATTACTTTTACGATGTCCTCATTCACTTTTTGAAGCTTGAAATTTATGGTTGCATGGACTTTCAATGGCTAGACAGAATACTACTATGTAAACTAAGTATAAATAAAAATGTATTGAAAAGAATGTTTATGTAAATTATGTCATGTAAAGTGTTCATTGTCACCTCTCTATCTGTTTCTGGTGTTTTTCTTCTCTGGCCTGAGCCTTCATCTGCTGCACCTCAATGGTGTCAGGCTTCCTCCTCCTCATGTACAGCTCATGGTTGCCCATACACAGAGCCAGGATGCGCCTGTTGATTCGCAGTCGTGGTGCATAGAACATAAAGTCCTGCCATCACAATTGAAAAGATTCAGTGAACATGTTCATATTTGATCTCTGCATGCTATGACTGATATTACTGATTTGGCTGATATGACTGATACTTGTTCTCCATATGTACAAAGTTTTGAGAAGTTTGGACTTCAAAAGACTTTGTGGCCACAAATGATTTAGGCATATTTGTCATAATGGGCAAGTCCCAACAAATATGCCATATTGTATCTGCTAAATTTAATGGATTAAATTATTTTGACAAATTGAACGGTTTTTGTTCTTCAGAAAAAAACAAAAATGAAATATACATGTGTTAAGGTTTAAAGCAAGTGTTCTGTACAAAAAAAGACGTTTGACACTATCACTTATGGTTGTTTAGTTATTAGCAAAGTTGCTTATTATAGTGACACCTTGAGAACTTGTTACAAAAAATGTGTACTCGTTTTCACAATGTACGAATGTGTCAATAATTATAATGGTATGCTATTCGGATTTGACATTCTTAGTCACTGAACTTTGATTGGCTGCTGAGTCACATTACAGAACATATCAGGACGTCCAACAAAGAAAATTCATACCAATTTACAACTGTATGGTTACGGCATTATTATAGATATTCGTTTGTAAACACCATATCAATGACTTACCCCAAAATTATGTGAATGTAAACATGGTCCAAATTGAAAAACTTCTGTAGTTCAAACTGACAGAATAATCATAAATAGTAATCAAAATACTTACGGGTGCTTTTTTATCAATGGGCTTGATGACAAACTTCTTATCGTTGAAAGAAATATTTCGGATCTCACTCCAAGGGAAACCAATCTTTGGTGTGAGCCTTAAAGAAAAACAAAGAGAGGGATGAACAAGATTAAAAATACCTTTATCCACATTATTCAGAAAGTCATGTCAAAAACAGCCAGCAGTGGGAAGCAGAGGAAAACACTTAGTTCATGTGCTGACAGACCATCAAATCAGCTGAGCTCTTAGAACCTAATATTAAAGTATTTTTGGGAGTTGACTGACATGAGCACTATGACCCCATAGGGGTGGGGGTGGGGGTCGCATTCTGCAGGGGCAATTGCGTGGGTTGCGCGGTACCTAAACATGCTACTGGAAATGGTCCCACTGTGAATAGAACTCAAGGCTATGCTTCTCTTCACCCAGGGGCAAAAGGCCAAAACACCACATGCTGTGACTCACCCTGTTCTAATGTCTGCCCTATAAGGCAGGGAATGGATGGGTGCTGAAGCAGGAGGGAGAGGTCAACTCTAATAATGCAAATAATACTCACAAGATAATATACACAAGCTTCCGTGTTTACCATAAGCATTGTGTGTCAGTTATTGCTTAGATGTAAAAGCTTAAATTTATAACCCTTTTAGATTTTTTAAGTTTTGCTTGCCTGAACTTTCAGCTCAAGGGAGAAACCTCTCAGGTTTAATTAAAAATCTATTAATTATTGTCATACGGAACAAAATTAGGGTAAATTTTGACAATATTAGTTTTTAAATGAACTACCCCTTTAATAAATTCTTCCAGGGGAAAACAAATAATTGAAAATTTTTTTAGAAATTAAATTTTCAAAAGTGACAGTAAATATTTTTACATTGTTACAAAAAAAAATATTTCAATTAAATGCTATTATTTTAAATTCATCAAAGAATCTTGAATAAAATGCATCATGGCTTCCACAAAATATAAAGCAGCACAACTCTTTTCAACATTGATAACTATAAGAAAAGTTTATTGAACAGCAAATCACCATATCAGAATGATTTCTAAAGGATCACTGAAGACTCAAGTAATGAGTCTTCAGTGATCCTAAATTCAGCTTTACATAACACTAATAAATCACATTTTAAAATATATTCACATAGAAAACAGTTATTTTAAATTGGAATAATATTTTCACAATATTAGTGTTTTTATTATATTTTTGGAAAGAAAATAATTATTTTAAAAACGTTTTAAAAAATCATACAGACCCCAAACTTTGGTATAGTAGAGTTTGTACATAAAGCAAGTGTGAGACATTTCAGCACAAGACATACTTGTCTTCATGTTCATAAATGTTGAGACCAAGAGCATCCACTCCCAGCCAGAGCTCTGTTCCCTTCTTATTTTTGATGTCAAAGTAGTTCACTGCATACATCTCCAGATCCTGAGCGATCTTCAGATACTCCATCAAAGAATCCTCTCTGTAAACACACAATCATGTTGGGAATAGAAATACTGCTATTAAGCATTGTGAAGTGCACTGTGTGTGTAGTTGGGGACTGAAAACACCAGTGCCCCAAGCGTGCTCTTGTATTATAAGCTATTGTTATGTGTACTCTGCATTGTCTGTGCATGTGTTTCTGTGTCAAGCCTTACCTCAGCATACCCCTGTGTTCCTCGTGCCACGTCTGTATTCTGTCTTCCCACTGTTCTTTAGTCAGTTTATGTTGCTCCAAAACTCTACATGATAATATCCAATACACACATGATGAATCAGTCTGGCATCACTGTATGGGCTCAAAATTGCAAAATAATCATCAATATTGTGTAACAATATTATTACACTAACTCTCATGGAACACATAAAAAGCTGGAGACCTAAAAATTATGACTTGAAATTCTTGAAGGCAGGGGAAAACTTACAAAATTTGCTGTTTGCATTGGTTTCATTGAATGGGGTTAGATTTGTTTCGTATTTCAAGATGAATAGATTTAGATCCACAAATTAATGTAAAGAGATTTACAAAAATGTAATGTAAAGAGATTTACAAAAAGCAAACATTATATCAATATATCTTTGTATTTATTTTGGATGTATTTATTTGTGTTAAGCGCCATGCCTGTCAATATATATCACAATATTCATTTATCATTAATAGGGAAGGAAAGCTCTCCACATGTTTGTTAGACCTTGAATAAGTGTTGAGTAAATCTAACTGTTCACAACTGAACTCCATAGCATAAGCTACCTTTTAATTTAACGCCACATGAAATTTATTTTCTCCCCCTAATTTCTGTGTCTTCAATTTAGTTTTTTCTGGATTCTGTGTGATTTAATACAAACCTATCATCAAAATGGTGTATAATGAAAGGAATTAGTAAAACTTTAATAATTTAATAAATCTTTTCAAATGTAATCGAATTAAAATATAATTCATTTACAACAAAGCATTGCATTTATATTTTGTTAAATCAGATGCTGCACAACAGAACTGTATTAATACATGGATAAAAATAATCTTGGTTGTATGACATTTCTTAAAAATAATATAATTACTTCAAGAATTACATTTTAGTACACAATAGTGATATATTTCTGTCATTAGTTAAACTGAACTTTTATTTTGACGGTTTGTCATGAAGATCTTTCAATTTCAGTTTGTATTTGACGGTAGTGTTTCTCAAATGAAACTGAAAAGCTTGTGAAGTTTTGATGATGATTATTAGCGACAGGCAATAATTGCATTTTGTCACATTATTTCATATCGAGTAAAAATGTCCAGAGCTTATCATCATTATCGACACAAATTTTATTGCGATTTCGATATGTTATTGTTTATTACCCAGCCCTACCCCATACACATTGGTTGATGCTTTAAAAGTGAAGAACATAGAGAAGCAACTTCATAAAAAGAGTTTAAGAGCATGCAAAGGATCTTCGAGAAGCCTCTTTAAAGCACTTTTGCTAAAAATATTAAAGCCAAAACAAATTAGAAAAAAAGCTGCAGAAACTAGTCAACCTCACTAATGAAATAGTCGAGTATCTTGATCAATCCTTATCACATACCAGCCGTCTGTAAATCACAGTGCTTTGCAAGGTGATTCAACAAGAGGCCATTAAAGGCTTGCCAAGGCCCAGGGACATTTAATTATAGCATGCAATGACGCATGGGGTTCTGTTTTACCCTGTGTACTGAAACATTAAGAGTATCCAGGGATGGGCAGTATTTCAGATACATGTATTTAAAATACATATTTGAAATACAAAATACTATTTTGTATCTTGTATTTGAAAGCCTTTGGAAAAAATCAAATGTATTTTGTATTTAAATAAAATTTAAGATGAGTATTTTTGTATTTTCAAAATACATAAAATACTTGTCAACCTCTAACCTCTTTATCAGTGTGCTGATTTCGTTCATCAACTAGTTCAGACACGCACCCTCCCCCCAACATTCATCACGTGAGCTGCAGCTGTACAGCTCCATCCAGCATTGGGTGAGCGACTTTTCTGGAATAAGATAAGGTGAGGATATCATGGTCAACTGTACTTGTTGATTAAAGTTCAAATAGTGCATCATTCAGATTTGCCTTCAGTTAAAATGAAAGAAGAAAAGAGCACAGGATAGTGTTAGCCAATCAGTTTTGATAGTTAATTGTTTTTTTTGTTTTTTATCAACTAGCTTGTCAAATGTGTTTAAAGCATTACTGCATGTTAGGCATGGGTGATATGACTACATATCGTGGCGACACATAAAGTGTGAATCGACTGAACTTTTTCTAAATCGTTTACATAGATAGACCTATCGGGGTAAGCGAATATATCCGTGCAGCTTTTAGTGGGCAGGAATTATTGGAACGGTGGAATGGAAAAAGAAGCATGAATGAATGAGCAATAGAATGTGATGTGCTTGGTGCAGAGTGGAACGCCAACAAGCAGGCCTACACTCTTGACTTAAAGGCTCTTTCACACAGGACGCAGGAAGCGGTGGAATCACCGTGCAGCTCCCGATTTCTGTCGTAGTGAAAGCATTTTGTGCAGTTGAAGCCTTGTTTATACTTTCGCCTGTCTCTACGCCACGAACCTGTTGACTGCCCGCTCCTCCCTAAACGGAGACGGCTTTTATACTTGATGCGCTCGCCGTTGTATAATTCTGTGAAATGACAGGGGGCGACTCGAAGTAATTGTTCTCCAAATCATTAGAAAGCAGCAGTGGGAGGAAGTAGTTTGCCGAGTAGTTTGTCAAATCGTTTCGTGAGAAGTTTGTGAATAAATAGATTTTTTCACATATAAACTGATTAGGTTGTGGGTAATTTTGGAGGACACATGGGAAAATGTTTTCGAGTACACTTCTTAAACCCACACAAAACAATTCAAAGAATCGTGAAAAATGCAGAAAAGGTAAGATTATGATTTGTGACAATAGAACAGACCATATAAATTTGATAACATATGTATAACACTAAATTAAATAATGCTTTCTTGTACGTTTTTTTAAATTCATTAAACATTTTCTTTTAATTAATGTTTGTATTTAACATGGACCATTACTTTATTCATAATTTCTGATATTGCAGGCTCATTTTGTAAATGTAAGCATTTTAAATTTTAGGCAAGTGCAAACTTGGTGCTTAATGAAATATTTGTCACATTTACAAAATCAGGTGATTGTGTTCACCCATCTATGCAAATATATGTTTATGTAGAGACAGAATAATTAAGTGTCCAGCTGAATTAATTTAGTATTTTGTTAGACGGGTATAAAAAAGCTTAGTTAAACGCGGCAGCGGTCGCGGCAGTGTCGCGTGACGGCCTCCTCGTGTGAAGACTGAAGAGTGTAAAGACCATCGACTCTACCGTGTGACTCCACCGGGCAGGGACACCGGCAAAGGATAAGTATCGCTTTTTATTTCTCCTCTTTCCTACTACTTGTTTCACTTCTGTTTCAGTTTTTATAACCATTTCTTACAATGTGTAAGTAAGTTGTTGTTTTTTAGCATGTAAGTTTGGCAGTGTTATTTTTTAGGATTACTGATAAACTACTGTCGTTTGATTTGTATTATTTGTATTTGTTATTTATTTTAATTTGAGTTAAATTATGTCTGAATTTATTATGTCTGTATAGGTCTTTTATTAAGTTTTACTTAATTTTTAAGTTATTTTACTACTTCAACAAACTAAATGGAAATGAAATAATATATATATAGAATTTATAAATGTGTATGTATATATATATATATGTATGTGTGTATGGTTGTACATACACATATATGTAGTTGTTTTTTTGGTGTTTGGCTTAGTGTTATGTTAGAATCATTATTATACTCTTAGTCTTATACCTTTTGTTCTTTAATATTTTGAATTGTTTTTAGCTTTATTTTTTGTTTTTCATTTAAATGTTAAGTTTTGAAATGTTGTTGTATGCATTTGTCATTTTTATTTAATTTCTTTATTTTTAAAATGTGTATAAGTTTTAGCTTTTAGTTTTGGATGTGTTTTTAGTTGTTTTAATACTACAATTGATTACTTCTGTTGTCCTCATTTGTAAGTCGCTTTGGATAAAAGCGTCTGCTAAATGACTAAATAAATAAATAAAAAATGCTATCTAAATGAATTCTAATTTAAAAATTTAAATTTTAGATACACTTTATAATTTGAATAAACTTTATATACAACAAAATAAACTTAGCATGAAATAAACATGCCTTTAGTTTAGTAACATGGTAGTTTTGTATTTCCTACAGGGTAGGGGAAGGGAAGAGGTATGTAAAATGAAAACAAAAGTTTCTAAGCAGTAGTACACATCGAAATATGTTTTTTTTTCTCCAGAATAGGTGCAGATAGATTTCAGCCTATAGGGATACCTGCACTGGATGGCCAATTTCACATGTATTTTGTGTATTTTCAAAATACAAAATACTGTATTTTTATTTAAATACACTTTTCCACACAGTATTTTGTATTTTTATTTAAATACACTTTTCCACACAGTATTTTGTGTTTTTATTTTAAATACATTTTCATGTATTTATGCCCATCTCTGAGAGTATCAGATAAAAAAAAAAAAAAAAAAAGTCCACCCTGAAATCCTGAAATCTTCTGAATCTGATAGTAGCTTATATTTATGTACCATATTGAACTACAAATAAAGAGAGAAGCTCATTACATTACTACATTACATCTGAAACAACCATCGAGCAACTCGTAGATGGAGGACATCCAACTTGTGAACAGTCATGGCCAAAAGTTTTGGCAGTGACAAATTTTGTGTTTTGCAAAGTTTGCTGCTTCAGTATTTGTAGATTATTTTTCCACGTTTCTATGGTATACTGAAAAACAATAATAAGAATATCATAAGTTTTAAAGGCTTTTATTGGCAAAAAAATATAATGGGTCAATATTTACAGTGTTGACCCTTGTTCTTCATAACCTCTTCAATTTACTCTGGCATGCTGGTTATTAGCTTCTGGGCCAAATCCTGACTGATGGCGATCCATTCTTGCCTTATTAGTTCTCAGAGTTGATCACAATTTGTGGGCTTCTGCTTGTCCACTCGCCTTTTGAGGACTGACCACAGGTTCTCTATGGGATTGCGATCTGGGGAGTTGCCTGGCCACGGATCCACAATTTCAATGTAATGATCTTTGAGCCACTTCTTTATCACTCTTGCTTTGTGACATGGTGCTCCATCATGCTGGAAAATGCACGGATCATCACCAAACTGCTCATGGATCGTTGGAAGAAGTCGCTCTTGCAGGACGTTTTGATACCATTCTTTATTCATGGCAGTGTTTTTGGGCAGAATTATGAGAGAGCCCACTCCCTTGGTTGAAAAGCAACCCCACACATGGATGGTCTCAGGATGCTTCACTGTTGGCACAACACAGGACTCATGTTTGCGTTTACCTTTTCTTCTCCAAACAATCGATTTTCCAGATGTCCCAAACAGTCGGAAGGGAGCTTCATTAGAGAAAACTTTGCACCAGTCTGCACCAACCTGCTGCCATTCCTGAGCAAGCTCTGCACTGGTGGTGACACGATTCCGTAGCTGACTCCTCAGGAGGAGGTCCTGGCATTTGCTGGACACTCTGGGACTTCCTGAAGACTTCTTCACTGCAGTCGAACCTCTCTCCTTAAAGTTCTTGATGCTCCGGTAAATGGTTCTTTCAGGTGCAATATTCTTTGTAGCAATTTCCTTGCATGTGAGGCCATTTTGATGCAAAGCGATGATGGCTGCATGTGTTTCTTTGGAGGTAACCATTGCTAACAAGAACACAATGATTGGAAACACATCAGTCTGCTCTTACAATCTTAGTATGATAGTGATTTTACCAGACCAGTACTTATTCACACTTTCACATGTGCTGCTGATATGATTAGTCAATTAATGTTAGCTGGTCATTTTGTGTCAGGATAAAAAAACTGAAATTTGTTTTTTTTGTGAAAAGTTCATTTTTTTGGCCAATTAAGCTTTTGGCAATTATTTAAAATGCATCGGATCACTCTACACAATAATCTAGAAAGAATGTGAATGAACACCAGAACAGCTTAAGCAGCAAACCTTGCAAAACACAAAATTTATGTCACTGCCAAAACTTTTGGCCATGACTGTATTACTGTGTTGAGAAGACTGGCTCACCTCTGTGGTAGCAGCCTGTCATTGGTGAGGTAACCAGGCTTGTGGATGTCTCTGTTGTAGTCGGCGTACTTGGCCTGAACAGAGTAAGATGCCAGTAGGACTGCTGTCTCCGGAGGGCAGTAAATCTCATCATTCAAAATGGCTTCCTTCACCTAGACAGCACAAACAGTTTAATTATGCCATGTTTGATCCACGTTTCTTCATATGAGGATTTTTTAAATCTGGAACTGATAATTCAACACAATCCTGGATTGTTCCATTCCTTGAAACTCATCTTGGAATGGCTGTCATAGCAACAGTTCAATAAGCTCAAACCTACTCAGGACTATTTAATGTAAACAGGATTAGATCAGCAACAGTAGGGCTGATAAAAAAAGTCCTGCCATTGCTCCATACTTACTACTTGTTTGTTTAGAATTCAAATAGCAAGGGCTTTCAGTATAATGACTTTGATCTATATTAATTTACATAATATAAATATAGGCATGTAAACACATTGCATATGTGCACAATCAAATACTGTTTTGAGTAGTTGAACAATAATATATAGAATAGAAGCATCATAAAATAATTTTTTTTGGACTTTTTAAGGAATATATATACATATATATACATATATATATATATATATATATATATATA